TTTTTTTTTTTTTTTTTTTTTATATATATATCATGGTGCACGCGTGTTACTTGTGCAACGCAACTGTGGCCAACGGTGTCAGTCTACACAAGTACGCATTCATATATTAATTGCGTTAAAAACCGGTTTATTGGCGTTGTTTATACGTGTACATTTACACGCGGGTGACTCTTATTAAAATTTAATAATTATACGTTCACAGATTTCCCAGAGATGTCGCGAGGGCCAACAGGTGGTTGGCGTTCGTAGCGACGTGCGGTTACGATCCGGCGGCCGTAAACTTGCGGAGCGCTTTAATTTGTTCGAGGCATTTCGACCCCGTCAACGATTACCGTACCAACCCAATCCGCAGGTTACTCATTAGCACTGCTGTGCCCACCGTAAGCCGCTACATATATATTTCGTTGTTCCGGATTCGATTATCTTATTTCATGATTATGTTCAGGTGATTGTCGCCAATCCCGAAGCAGCTCGACCCTCTCAGTCGGACGTAAAACAGTTCCATTCAGTCTATATTTTAATAATTGCGTTCGCGGGATCTGATGGTTTTTATGATTGTTTCAAACGCGTAATCCCTAACCGAATCGATTCGTGGGGGGATGGTCAATATTGATATGTTCACGGGGTTTGGCCGGTCTCCAATTTATTTACAACCATCAGATTCCGTATCCGCGTGTTGTCCAATCGCAATTGTTAAGATGTGTAATAAATACATTTAGGTTGAAATCGTCGGCATCGCCGTTGGTGACGACGAGGCGGCGGTTGGCGATATAAACGATATGGTACGAAATTGTTTGTTTTTTTTTTTTTATCATGTAGTACATTTAATATACAACTTTTTGAATACTTATAATACGTTCGAAGGTCGAAGTCGTCGAAGCCGAAGCGTCACCCGAAATAGTCGACGTCGATCCGTTCGAAGTGAGTAGTGTTCATTACGTCGTGTTATAGTAATAATTAAAATAATATTATTTTTTTGTTAACGTGCAGGTCGAAGTGGTCGGGGCTCCCGTCGAACCGTCGCCCGAATTCGTCGACGTCGGGTTGGACGACGTCAGTAAAATAATTATTCAATCGCTTTGAAATACGACGGAAATAAAGACTTTTAATTATTATTTTTTTTTTCTATCCCGTTGTGTATAGCTTGCCGCCGTCGTCGGAGTTCAAAACGAACCAGCCCTCGACGTCGCTCCGTCCGAAGTGAGTTTAGTTATTTCGAACATTACAATAAATAGTATATTAAATATAGCATTCGGCTTTAATAAAACGGAATCTGTTGTACAGCGTGACGTGCATTATATTATAATACGGTGTACATCTTTTTATCTTTTTTTTTTTTACAAAAATTACAAACGTTCATTTAGCGACAGCGCCGTAGGTCGTCGCGTCTGTTGTGTTGCCTAGTTAGTGTGGAACGGCGTATCTTCTACTTATCTTCTACTTATTTTGTATTTTTTTTTTTCCAATGTTTGTAAACTATTAAATTCCATTTGGAACTACTATTACAAATTATTAAAAATTTTCTTTGTGTTATTTATTGCAATATATATATATACACACACACACATTTGTTTGACAATATTCAAATGGGACGAATGATAATTACAATTTTATTGAGCATAACAAATTGCTTTGCGTAATATTTCTCGAAATTCAGTCAGACATTAAGCACCATTAATTATTATAATCATTTATTCATTTATATTTAGACGACACAAGTTTTATAACCTCTGCTTGCACACTAAGCTACTGCACAACACTGCTCAGAAAACGATTTATGTTGTTTAAGATTAAATAGAATATTAACTCGACATTAAAAAATATATATTGTTGTTCATAATTTTTATTGTTATGCTCATTGTTATTATTATATAATAATTAAATATATAAATATATTATTCCGTTACAAATTTAATATTTATAACAATGCATTTTAAATATTTATTGTATATATACATTCTCTGTTTTATAAATCCAATTTTACGTGCACAGGACGATCGACGGGGNTAAATCCAATTTCACGTGCACAGGACGATCGACGGGGTGGTAATCCGGAACGAGTGCAAGCCGGCGATGTTGTTGAAGCGATACCCGTGCAACCGGTCGAACTCATAGCGCACGTGCGAGACGTTTTACCGGAAGAGAATTGCATTGGCCCAATGAATTACGTTTGCGCGCACTGCAACGCACGGCATTTCGCCGTGGAAAAGTTAAGTATTAGTAACAATGCGACATTTTATTTTTCCTTGTGTTGTTCTAACGGTTTGGTCGCCCTCGCGGACGACCAAGTATTATTGCCTGTTCCAGATCTGTTGAAGGACCTGATGCTCGGCGATTCGGCACAATCGCGATCCTTTAGAGCGGAAATCCGTCCATACAACAGCGCGCTGGCGTTCGCTTCGTTCATAGTGAACAATCCGCCCGCCGATAGAGCGCCAGAGGCTCAGCCCGGCCGCCGGTTGCCCGGCGGCGTGTTTACCGCGCACGGACAGATGTACCACAGGTAATGGATGCGAAATTTTTTCCTCGACTAATTTATCGGCAACATTACCGTAGGGTATTATTATTTTGTGATAAATTACAATTACACCGCACCGTTTTATTAGTTGTTCCCGTAAATTTATAAAATACACATTGACGGAGTAACCGGACTCCATAACGTTTATCGTACGTGCACTTAACAAATTGTTTACAAGTCTTATATCGACTTTAGTTTTAAAATATTTTTCGTATTTCGTTTGTAAAAACTCAGGAAACTAATATGTAAGCTTATTTAAATTTAATATTCATTGTTTATTCATATCGGATAAATATTTCGTAATGACTATTCGTTTCAAACGACTATAACCGTCGAATTAAATCTAATCAAAGGGGATTCAATTTTTACCGTTATTATTAACGAGTCCACCTCGATTCAAATCAATCGATCCTTACGGCCGTTCACATCAACTAATATACATTTGTTCAGCAGCAGTGTTTTCGCGAAAAACTCATTTCTACATTGTGGTATACGCGTACGAACAGTATATATAACACTTCGATATAAACAATACGTTAGTTTTTTTTTTCGATATATGACGTTAATCAAACAAATTGTCAGCACACCACTTTAACGTTTGTGGAACACTCGAATAAATTATAATGACAATTAAGATATTATTAATTAATTAACTAACTAAAGTCATTTTTTTTTTTTGTTATTACCCTGCCGATAAATTATTTATTTTAAAACACTTTACCGATTATTTACACTTTCACCGACCGCAGGATGAGCCGAGCGGCGATACCCAACAGGAGGGGGGCAACGCCTCGCTACTGTCAGTTGTACTTCATCAGCTCGACGGAGGCTACCGCGGCGCGGATCGAAGCCAATCGCAGCCGAGCCAACCTGTTGGACAGCGTGTTACGGCAACTCGACGAAATGTTGAGGGCCATCAACCCGTACGCTGAAGCGTTCAGGTAACGCCACGACGACCGTCGTCTTAATTTTTACGCCTAATATATATATATACATAACCGTTATCTTTCGTCTCTCGCAGGAATATGAACGAGGTGTGGGTCGACGAGACCCGACGACCGCCGGAAGAGGCACCGCAAAGAGTGACCATGTTCTTCATCGAAGACCGCAACAGCGACCCGAGGCGCTACAACGCCTCGCGCGTCAACGAAGTCGCCGCGGTGTTCACCGGCGAGAACGGCTTGCCGCCGGCGCAAGTGGATTTCGCGGTTTACGACCGCGCGACGGCCGGACCCGCGATGCGCACGCTGTCGACGAGGTCGCCACACATCGATCCGATGGTATACCCGCTGCTCTTTCCGAACGGCGAAAGGGGATGGAACCCACACATGGAACAGACGGGCGCGCGGAGAACGACCAACAGGCAACGCGTGTCCATCAGGGAGTTCATGTGTTATCATCTGGCCGTCCGTTACGGGGGCAACAACGACGGCGGTCACGGCGGGTTCAGCCCGTTACACGCCGGCGGTTTTCTGTTTCAACAGCTCCTGTGCGACTATTACGTGCGCATGGAATCGGAGCGGTTCGAATACTACGAGGCGCACCAGTCGGACTTTTTCGTGGAGGCCTACCAAGGTCTGATGGATCACATCAACGGGCAACACGACGTGACCAGGGACAACGACGTCGGGTCCCGCGTCATTCTGCCCGCTTCGCACACGGCCGGCGTGAGGTTCATGAAAAGACGTTATCACGACGCCATGGCCTTGGTGCGGACGTACGGCAAGCCCGATCTGTTCATCACTTTCACCTGCAACCCGAAGTGGACGGAGATCGCGGACAACCTGTCGGACGCGTTGACGTACATCGACAGGTCCGATTTGGTTACGCGCGTGTTTCACGCCAAACTCAAAGCGCTGATGGACGATCTGACGCGCAGGAACGTCTTCGGCCGCGTGGCGGCTTACGTCTACACGGTCGAGTTTCAGAAGCGCGGTCTGCCGCACGCGCACATACTGCTCATTCTCGACGAGCGGTTTAAAATACGTTCGGCCGAAGACGTGGACCGAATCGTGCGAGTGGACATACCGGATCTCGTCGCGCAACCGACGCTGCACCGTCTGGTCAAGACCCACATGTTGCACGGTCCGTGCGGCGTGTTTTTCAGAACGTCGCCGTGTTGGGACCAAGAGAAAAACGTCTGTACCAAGCAATACCCGAAACCGTATTGCGAGGAAACGGTTTACCGCGCCGACGGCGGTTACCCCGAGTACAGGCGANTCGCGCCGATGGCGGTTACCCCGAGTACAGGCGACCCGACAACGGTCGTACCGTCGAAGTGCGGCGGGCCACCCTGGACAGTCAGTGGGTGGTGCCTTACAATCCCTATCTGACGGCCAAGTACAACGCTCACATCAACGTGGAGGTGTGCTCTTCGGTGAAGAGCGTCATGTATCTGTACAAGTACGTGTACAAGGGCCACGACGCCGCCACGTTCGCGGTGTTGAACAACAACGAAATACAGAGGTACGACGACGACGAAACATTTGATATTCGCATTTTGATCGTTTCGTATTGTTTTCCAGCTATTTGAACACGAGATACGTGAGTCCGCCGGAGGCGTTTTGGCGATTGGCCAAGTACGAAATTCAAAAGCAAAGTCACGCCGTCGTAAAACTGCCGGTTCACCTCGAGGGCCGGGAACCGGTATATTTCCGACGGGGCGAACTGCCGCCCGCGGTGCTCTTCGGCGCCGGGGTGCGCACGATGCTCACGGAATTCTTCCAGCTGAACAGGAACGACGCAGGAGCCAGGCGGTACCTGTATCACGAAATACCCAACAGCTACGTGTGGGACGGCAGGGAAAAGTCGTGGCGTGTGCGCCAACGCGCCCAGACGTATCCGAACATCGCGAGAATGTACGCGGTCAGTCCTTGCGACAGGGAGCGTTTCTACCTGAGGACGTTGCTGCTGTACCGCAGGGGACCGATCGGTTTCGAGGACCTGAGGACGGTCGACGGCACGGTGTACCCCACCTACGCCGAGGCCGCGACGGCTCTGGGCATCTTGCGAGACGATCGCGCGTGGAGGGCGTGTATGCGAGAAGCTTCCGTCCACGACACGCCGCATCAGTTGAGATGTCTGTTCGTCACGATACTCCTGCATTGCTCGCCCAACGACCCGCCGAGACTGTACGACGAGGCCCGGGACGCGTGTTGACGCGATGTGATTTCTGCCCAGTGCTCTGAATGTCAACCTTCTCCCCTTTAGCTGGTGGTCGCCGCTGGTTCTGGCCTGGATGACCGGTCTCCCTTGCCGTTGTATGCGTCACCCCGAAAAGGTTAGCCCTGCCGGAGCGCGTGACAACAACTAGTGTATGGGTTTCCGCAATGAAAGGTCTTAGCTAGCGTCGATCGTCTGTGGCGAAAGGGGCGGTCACTATAGCATTTGCTGGTCAATAAATCGGAACTTGTTTCGGCCCTCGGCCTCCGTGGTTTACCGCGGACGTCGGGGGCCGTTTCACTTTATCGGTTTTTCAGTAGTGCCAGACCTGGGAGTAACAGATGTCATACTTGCCCAATATCCAAACAAAGGTCAATCTAAACACTCGCCCTTGGGTTTCTTGGCGGGTTGTCTCGGCGATTGACGTCCGGGGATGCTCTGTGGTGGCTTAGGTGGCGAAACTGGTCAATGAAAGCGGATGATGCTAGCCGATGGGCGAGAACCGCTTTGCCGCACTAGTCCTGCGGGCGGCGGTAGACCGGGTCTCAAACGGGTGTGAAATGCGACAATGGAGACCCGTCGAGTCGTCGATGCCACCTAAGGGATGTTCTCGGGGGATATGTTGTCGGGGTGGCGTGCTGGGCGTCCTTAGTAGCGATGGTTCAGTATACTTTGGTCCCTTGGTATAAATCGAACCCCACGTCCGGACATTAACACTACGCAAAGGTGGTCCACGTACTGGCTGGCAATCCCTTCAGTGTCTATAGCCATGGGAACTAACGGGGAACTCGTCCGTCTCAGATACGGCCACAGTGCTTGGCAACCTGGGGTACGATCTGTCGATCGGCCCATCTACCACCTTATAGAGTAGAAATCACCAACGGTCCGTCTCTGATCTCAGGCTTCGGCCTCCTCCCATATCATGCCGGTGCTTTCGAGCGTCGGCGTGTATGGCGGTCAATTGCATTTGCTGGTAAGCAGTTCATTCGTTGAGTATAGCTTCGTCAACCCAGCTCTTCGGGGTTTGGGCTGGTTAGGTTTGGTCGACGATGGACTCTCAGTAGTGGCGGAGTAACGGACATTGGTTTAGGTTTTTAGTTAGGTTGTTTATTTGCGTTATTCATTCCTTCAAAATCTCTATAAGTCGCATGAGGACGCTTCTCATTTCGGACTTACGTTTCTGGTCGCCTTGTGCGCCCTAGACTCTATGTTCCGACTTGTTTTACGCTGCTCATCCGATAAGGGGGAGGTCGCCCCTTGGGTGGTGAGATGGGAGCCTTAGACGAGATACATGTATAATGTCTCGATCTTAGGTCAATGCCCACGTAATGGTTAGTAAGACCCTAACCAAGTCAGACGCGTGAAGTGGGGCTAGTTCATAGCTAGTAATGACGCGGGCGCTCCTTGGGGCCATGGCGTTGCCAAGCGCTATGGTCCCCCTTTTAAGCAACATGAATTCTCATAACATAGAGCCTCGGATAGGGGGTGGATCCCAAACAGCGGCCACCCCCACTCATGTTGCTGGGTCGGCCGGCGAGCCTAGCTCGTCTGTCCTGCCCGCCCTTCTCCCGATATGTGAGCGTATGTTCAAAGGCAAGATTGGTGTCGGTGTGCACATGCGCAGAGCGCATGCTCAGGTGGCCAATGAAAACATCGACGTCTCGCGAGTCAAATTGCGATGGTCAGATGAGGAGAAGCGCATCATAGCGACGCTTGAAGCGACAGCGAAGGCTGACGGCGTTGCGGACAGACTTATCAATGAATATTTAGTTGAGCGACACAGGGGTCGTACCCTTGAATCGATTAAGGGTATTAGAAGAACCTAGGGGCACAGGGCACTAGTTGCCCAATACTTAGCTGAGCTCCTCGACCAACGTGATCCAGATATGTCTTGTTCGCAATCGGCTTCCAACGCTTCGGTTGATAGCTCGCTTATCGATGAGGATACCCCTCTTTTAGCCGCAAGTGGCCTCCGGATTCCTGAAGATCCGGTGAGGCGTGGTGGTGCTTCGGCACTCAACCCCGCCAACATTGCCGTTGGATTGCTCTCCACGGTACAAGGTCATGGCAGCGACATACACCTGTCGGCGGCGAGGCGGTTAGTCGATGATGGCGCTGATCCAACCGCAGAAATTAGCCACTGGTATATCCAGTACGGCAAGCTTATATTAGCTAATTCTAGCCCAGTCAGTAGATCAAAAGTTGATCCTGTTGGAAGGGACAATAGTCCAAAGACCCGAAAGGCGTTGAAGGCCAGAGAGTACAGGCGTAATGTCTCTGAATGGAAACGTGGGCACAAACGCGTAGTCGAGCGTATACTTACGGGGATCGATTCGGGAGCAGCAATGCCTCCGTTCGAAAAGATGGTCCAATACTGGGAGCTTATAATCGAAAGCCCCCCAGTCCCCACCTCTGTGGCACTCAATGAGAGCAGAGAGACTCGAATGCGCAGTATGTTTGACCCTGTTTCGCCATGGGAGGTAGTCAAATCCCTTCCTTCGGCAAATACAAGTCCGGGCCCTGATGGGTTTAAGGCTCGGCTATGGAGAACATTACCCATACCACTATTAACTGGCTTATTCAACTTGTTGATCGCCACGGGAAAACTCCCGGACATTTTTGTCCGATCCCGTACCATATTTGTTCCCAAAAAGGGAGATGCCGGATGCCCAGGTAACTATAGGCCGATTTCGATCGCGTCGATAGCCCTGCGGCATTTCCATAGGATTTTTGCCAGAAGGCTTGAAGGTCTGTCCGTTATCGATGACAGACAGAGGGCGTTTAGATGTGCGGACGGGGTGGCGGAGAATCTCTTCCTCCTCGATTCGTTACTGACGAGCGCTCGTTCGTCTTGCCGGGGACTGTGTTTGGCGTCGCTGGATTTATCCAAGGCGTTCGACTCAGTATCCCACGGTTCGATCTCTGGGGCTATGCGTGGCGTTGGGCTTGACCCTCGCTTTGTCGATTATATCGACCGCGTGTATACCCAGAGTACGACTTTCATTCAGGTCGGCAAGTCTTCCTCCCGGTCCTTGAGGGCAACAAATGGCGTGAGGCAAGGCGACCCTTTGTCGCCGCTTTTATTTAACCTGGTGATAGACTTCGGTCTACGAGCAATCCCAGGAGCGGTTGGCTATATGCTGGGCAACGAGCGGGTGAATGCTCTGGCGTTCGCAGACGATGTAATCCTTGTGTCGGAGACGGCTAGGGGGTTGCAAATGTCGTGCGAGAAGTTCACCTCTCGATTAGCATTAGCCGGTCTGAGGCTAAACCCAACGAAGTCTGCTACTCTTACCCTGGTTCCATCGGGACGAGATCGCAAACTGAAAGTGGCCGCCACGTCTTACTCCTTAGGGGGTTCGTCTTTGGCGAGTTCTGGAGGTATCTGGGTATAGAGTTTCAGGGAAACTACCTATCTGGGTTCAAGTGCGCGTCTCTTGTCAGCGCTCTGGAGGCGGTCTCGGCCGCCCCCATGACGCCGCAAATGAGGCTTGCAATTGCACGGGACTACGTGATCCCAAAGTTCGTCCACGGATTAACTTTCACGAAGCTCCCCGATTGCAAGTTACGACAACTTAGTCACGAGACTAGACGTGCGATTCGGAAATGGCTGGATCTCCCGACTTCGTGCCCCAACTCATACATCCATGCCCCCACGTCATCTGGGGGCCTAGGGGTCGCTGACTTCGAAAGATTTGTCCCGAAAAATCGGTTCGCTAGGTTGACTAAGCTCGAGCAGTCACAGGTACCGGCGGTGCGTGAAGCATTCCGTCTCTTTGGGACAGGTGTATTAGCAAACCGAAGGCGCCGTGTTGATAGGATCGCAGCGATGACTAGTCATCATGAATTACTCCATAGTACAGTGGATGGAGCTGACCTTAAGATTTGTCCTGGTAGCTGGGAATCTACGGCGTATATGCGCAGGCCAGATGGTATAACTGGCCGCGACTTTAAGCAGTACGCCAAGATTAGGATTAATGCCCTACCCAGCCGCAAGCGCGTTGGACGGGGGCGCAACATTCCGGTGTCATGACGGGGTTGTGCTGCGCCTTCGGAGACCCTTGCGCACATCGTCCAAGTGTGCCCAAGAACTCATGAGGGAAGAATTCTCCGACACGACCACGTCGTGAAGCGCATAGCTGGAGCGCTTACCGAAAAAGGGTTTCGAGTAGAGCGTGCATCTCTACGTCTTAAGGGATGGTAATCTCAAGCCGGACCTCGTCGCAACTATTGCGGACGAGACAAAAGGTACGAGATCCGTTATCCTGGATGTACAGGTTGTTTCGGCCACCAACATCAAAGACTGGCACGAAGAGAAAGTACGAAAGTACGCCAGCCGCCTTGATTTAAAGTCCGAAATCATGGCGAGACACCAATCGACTGAAGTGCATACAGTCGCCGCGACCATTACTTGGCGAGGGGTATGGCTACCTAGCTCGTTAGAAAGTCTTAAGGCTCTTGGGTGGACTTGTAAGGTCAGTCCTCCGCGGTACCCTGCTGAATTGGCATACGTTCAACAGGTCGAATAGGGTTTTCGGGCGGGTGGTTGTCGGGTGAATATCGCCGTCCCCCCGCAACACGGGAGCCTCCTCGTCTCCCTGGAATGGGTCCCTTAGGCCCAGTCCACATTCCTTTCGCCTCTTCCTTCTTCCTGCTTGTCCGGGTCTAGGCTATTACATGATGAGTAGCCTCGGCCTACCTCCATTTTCCTATGGCTTTCCACGGGGTAGAAGCCGCCTCATCCAAGGCGACTCGCATAGCTATGAGGTATGCGGGCCGTTGGGGCGCCTTTCTGATATATATAACTCTAACTGTTTGTTTTTTTTCGCATGGCGACGGCGTTCTTTTAATGTGGATAATTAATATTTTACGAATATCTATCCGAGTTCAAAATTATAAATTCCGTTTGTCCGCGGACAAAACGATAACAATGATTGTTATAATTATTATTGTTGTCGTTATTATTAATAATATTCTTACTAATAGTTACAATTAACATATTAATATCGATCGCATATAACGATGATAACAACAATAAGTAAATAAATAGGACAACAGCAAAAATATGTAGATTCAATACTGTTGCAACGCCGCGACTTTTCATGCCATGTATCATTGACTGGCAAATTTAAATTTTCCACGTCGATTCGATATAATCGTAACATTAATTTACGTGTTCATTACAAATATTTTTTCATTGTTATAGTCGATGTTTCTTCAATAGTGTTTGATCCCCGTATATAAATTCATAAAATGTTTATTAAAGCGTGTATTCACACGTTGAGGTAAAAAACAAAGTATGAATCAACTCGATACAAATCACTACCAGTGTACGACATGCTTATTTCATTTATTATTTCATTGCTTTTATTTATTATAAATATTTCATTTTAGACGATAATAATGATGATTATTTGACAATATCTATTCAAAGTACGCGGGACGGTTTTGTTTCGTTTTTTCTTTTATAGCTCGCGCAATAACGGCAAGAGCGATGAATTTAATTATTAATCGTTCGTTGTGTTTACAGGACAATCTGATGGAAGATTACTTCAGACGACGCGCAGACCGCGACACATCCGAAGCCATGTGTTTGGCCGCCGTGGAACGTCACCTGGCCGCTTCGAACAAGACGCTCGCGGGTTACGGTTTACCCGAGCCCGATCGCGCTCTGTTAGTACCGGACGCCGCGCCAGCCGACAACGCGACGGCGGCGGCAGACGTCGCCGAGTTGGTCGGTCGACTGAACGAACAACAGCGGACGATATACGATCGCGTCATGCGGGCGGTCGGCGACACCAGGCGTCGATTTCCCAAGTTGTTCTACGTTTCCGGAGCCGGAGGTTGCGGCAAGACCTTACTGTACAACTGTTTGATTTCGGCCATCCGGAGCCGCGGAGGGACCGTGATTTCCATGGCCTATACCGGGATAGCCGCGTCGTTGATCCAGGGCGGACAGACCGTAAGTGTTGTTCTGCATAATTAACGCGCGACCATTGCGATTCGCGTTTATTTCGTTCCGCACTAACACCACGCGTTTACTTACAGGTTCACTCTACGTTCGGCGTGAGGGTGGCGCCGCACGATCAAGAAGACCCGTCGTATCTGGCGATGCAATCGAGGAAAGCGCAGGCTCTGCGCGCCGCCTCGCTGATCGTTTGGGACGAGGCGTCCATGTCGCCCACGTCGCAGCTGCGGGTCGCCGACAGGTTGCTCAGGGACGTCATGAACGTGCCGGACACGCCTTTCGGCGGCAAACCCGTGCTGTTCGCCGGCGACTTCAGACAGACGTTGCCCATCGTGAAGCGCGGTTCGCGGGCCCAATTCGTTTCGGCCACCATACGACACGGTGTTTATTGGGTCTCGATGGAAAAATACTCGCTGCAGCGCAACATTCGCGCCGACGGCGACCGGCCCTTCGCCGATTGGCTGTTGCGGCTCGGCGCGGGCTCGCTCAACGACGGACTGGAACGCGTGACCCTTCCGGCCGGTGCGGTAAGCGAATCTTTTGCGTCTCTATTGGACTTTGTTTACCCGCGGGCGATGTCGTTGAACAACGTCCGCGATTACGCTAAACATATTGTTTTGTGTGTTACAAACGACGAGTGCAAGAACATCAACGATCAGGTGCTCCGCAGTCGAGTGACGGGATCGCAGAGGATGTACACCGTCGTAGCCGACGACGACGACGAGGCGGCCAATTTTCCCGTAGAGTTTCTCAACACTCTGGAAGCGGACAACTTGCCGCCGTACAGGTTGACTCTGAAGGTGGGCGCGATCGTCATGTTGCTGAANATGGACGCGATCGTCATGTTGCTAAAGAACCTGGACACGACCAGACGGCTGTGCAACGGTACCAGACTGGTAATCACCGAGCTCAGGCAACATAATTTTAAAGCTAGACTGTTGACAGATCTCGACACCGAGGAGACGGTCGTTCCGATCGTTCAGACGAGGACGTCCGGGGACGGCGACATTCCGTGCCGCATGTGCCGTTACTAGTTTCCCGTGAGGCTCTGCTACGCCATGACCGTCAACAAGTCGCAGGGGCAGACGTTCGATCGCGTCGGCCTGTCGCTGACGGTACAGCCGTTCGCCCACGGACAGCTGTACGTGGCCTTTTCGAAGGTGCGCAACCAGAATTCCATCAGGGTGTACACTTTGTCGGGCGTGGACGGACCGTGCGTTGTGAAAAACGTCGTGTACAGGGAAGTATTAGAATGATTTTGACATAAATCGTGTTTGATGGCGACATTGAACACCATCCCGCGGTACAGCGGGTAATCGAGTGTTTTGAATGGATTAAGTGGTGTAATCCGGGCAAAATGCTCGATTTTGACGGGCGTGACTTGTGTGTTTATGCGAATATTCTGCCTGTGTCCCCGTGTGTCCCTCGAAACGGCTATTTTCCCGTGCTGTGCATTTGCCATTTGAACCCCGAATGGCATGTGTACGGGCGGAGAAATTTCCGTTTTGTGCGGAGAGATTGTATGACAACCTTCACGTGGTTCTCTCTGAATGCAAATCCGTTAAATGTTCGTGGCATTAAATAAAATATCACAATAAGTGGAATATACATTTTTAAAATATTTGCATTACAACTCGAAATGACAGTCACTTTTCTTCTTACGGATTCGTAACTAATGTCATGCGTTATAATTAAAATTTATTTGCATATTATAATATATTTATTTGTTCGATTAACGTTCGATTTCTTTTCCAGAACTCAAACGAATTAACACAAATAACTCGGAGGACATTGGTACCACAACGAACGTTTCGACAAAGTAATATCAACTTATGCGGGACCGACATGAAATTCCTGGAAATTATCATACACGGCAACTTACTTTCTACGCTTCATTAGAAATTATTATCGACCATTTGTGATACATATTTTTGTATTGTTTAACATACGCATACATTATCTATTATATATATTTTCACTTAAAGAGTTCAAATGTAATATAACATTTTTTAAGACAAACATTTGAACAAATAATTTTTCTTTTTGCCTGTTCTGTAGTAACGGTTTAATATATTAAATATTTGCCTTTATTTTAACTTTCTCATCTCAATATGAATAACGTTCATCGTATGAATTAGGTTTGAAATGTCGTTAGCAAATTTTGCACTATACGAATTCAACATCTTTTTTTAATATTTAGATATTTTTATTTTTTATTACATAGAAAAAACAAATAATAATAATATTATTATGAACTCCTTTTAATTTTTTTCATTTTACAACATATTTTCGTCTGCGATATTATTATTGTTTAATTATTCTGCATGTAAACATCACAATAATTGTTTTTATATATGTTTTATACTCGGATTGCTCTATCCTTTTATATACGAGAATTAAAGTAATGAGTACAACACCAATAGCTTTGTTACATACATTATTACATCAATAAAATCAATAGAAAATAAACAATATAATCAATAGACGTACCTATGTTAATATTTTATATTATTACCGCACCAAGATATATACATGAAATAAGTAACAAGTATTATGATCAATGCATAGTTGAACCAAAGCAGTTTTTTTTTTCCTTTGCTACGGCTAATTAACTGGCCTACCCTGGTTACAGCCATAATATTTTTTGTTATTCAAATCTGAAAGTGATATATATTACACTACTAATTGTTAATTATTTATACGTATCGTTCGGGTTTAAATAAATACATACGCTACTTACATTACTGTACGTTGTACCGTAACGCGCACACGCGAAACGACCTAGAATAATATATAAACGACAATAATAATATAACGTGTGTTTAGTCAAATTTTGAAATAAAATGCGGGTATAGATTACATGCGCCTAAAGTCTTTATCGGATACCTACAAAAGTACACTTCTAATCATATTTATTCCGCTAAATCTAGACGAGTTGTGCTTGCAACTATATTTTAACTAAAAACGATTTTGATAACGTATTAAGTCGAACAATATTTCTGAACTTCATTTAGTATCATAACGTAATGGTTTATTTATTGAAACATTACTTATAATCAAAATTACAAAATTTATAATGTTTTTTTAAATAAATATTACTGTCTATGATTATTAGGATTCGACGATTATAGTTTTTACATTTTGTCGTATTGTTTGAAATTAATCTAAACTTGAGGTGTTTGATTGAAATTTCTCAGTGGCTAATGTCCCATAGCATTCATTGAACACATTTCCCCGTTTCATAAATAGATTTTGAACAAAATATTTGTGAGTAAGAGGTAAGATATTGAGGGACTTGACCAGTGTTCGAAACCAAAAATGATAGCAGAATTTTTACGTGCATAACTGTATACACAGCATACCGCAAATAAAGATCCTGTTCAGTAAATTTCTGTATATTAAAAGTACGCCTTCCCTTAGGAATCATTACTATAATCAAATTCATGTAATTCAAAGAATTTATGGAACTCCCTAACGAAATTACTTATTAGCAGAAAGAAATACAACATAGCGGATATGAGATTGTGTGGAGACCGCAATAAAAATAAATCGAAATTTTAAAGCAGAAAAAACGTAAAATCTGTTCCAGGTGAAGCTATAATGAGGGGCTGGATTTTAGTATATAGCTAGAGACTAGACACTAGATACTAGATACTAGATACTAGACACTAGATACTAGACACTAGATACACTAGATACTATATACTAGATACTAGATACTAGAAACTAGATACTAGACACTAGATACTAGACACTAGATACATTTTTTTTTTTTTTTTTTATCTTTGAATTGACATCGGGGGGAGTACTGCCTTTGCTTTGCTTTCCCCCGAGATGCCATCGTTTATTTATTTTAATAACTCCTTTTACATTTGCTATGTTCTTAATCTATTCTAATACTAAACATTCATTATTTTGCTACATTTATTATCTTAATTCTACTGTACAGTATTTCATCTTTTACAAATATACACTTTTGAGTACTGCTCCCTGATCTGTCCATTTATCTTCTTAGGTCGTCTCACCAGACCGCCACCTTCGAGTCACGTACCCTGCCTCCGCCTTTCCTCGCACTCTTTTGTCACCAGTATGTTCTCCACGTATGTCCTTACCAGATCCCAATCCTGTCTGCTCCTCAGCATGATTCGAACCATGCTCTCCGGTGTGACTTGTGCATTCAGGTATGCTTCCAAAGTCATAAGCTCCCTACACCAGCGCTCACACTGGAAGAACGTGTGTTCTGCAGTGTCGAATTGGGCCCCACAGGACACGCACTTTGGACTGCCCACTCTCTTATACTTGTAGAGGTAGTTCTGAAAACATCCATGACCCGATAAGAACTGAGTCATGTGGAAATCAACCGCTCCGTGTTTACGTTCCACCCATTGCCTAACGTTACGAATGATACGCCTCGTCCATGCACCAAAGCCTCCACTATCGCATTCAGCCTGCCACCATCCCATGACGTCCTCTTGCATCGTTTGCGTAAGATATGCCTCCCCTGAACGTTCTGCTTGCCTTAACCTGCTCCGGCTGCGGGCAAGTAAGTGTGCTGGTGTTACCCCGGCCACCACCATAATCGCCTCCGTCGACACTGTCCTGTAGGCACTGACCACTCTTAATGCGATGGCACGCTGCGGGCTCAGGAGTAATTGCCTGTGGTTTGTGTACACCAAAGAGGGGCTCCATATAGGGGCTGCATAGAGCAGCAGACTATTGACCACGGATGCTGCCGTTCGGCAATCTAACAAGGTTGCCGCTCGGGGATCGTCCCCAGATCCTTAGGGATGAACGGGACTTTCCTTCGGGTGTGATGAGTACCTCCTATTGGTGAACGGTGTGTAATGTTGCAGATTTTATACAAGTTTTTTTTAATATATAAATCTTATCAGTTAATAGTGTGTGCATTAGGTATTATGTATGTCCCCAATTATTAAATTAGTTTATATACCAATCAACCGATCCAATGGTCAGTACCCGGTTTGTTGTGACAGTTGACCGCACACAGTGCATCCCTACACCTTTGTATTTTCCCTATGAACCAGTTCAAAGTTGGCACCCCCACCACCCGGCGACATCATGATCACCGGCCACTATTCAAATGCCGCAACAATGATTTTTTTTTTTCCACCTATACTGCCGAGGCGACAAGTTGTCCGTTGGTATTTTTTCTGAAAACCACGTTTTTGTATTTTTTTTGTCCTCCGTTTTTTTTATTAAAATAAACGTCGAGTCGACCTGCCGTCTACTGTCTCCGTCGACAAGTACTATCTTGTTTGGCGCGGCTACTAGGGCAGTGGGTAATTAGTAGGCCCTCTGTCTGGCTGAAACCTTACAGGTGGAAACGAGAAAGTGATCTGATCTAATCAGACCTTTCTCGGCCAAAACTTCGTCAAAGCTCGGGCATACATCTTTGTGTGCCCGAGGAGCGGGCCTGCACTTGATTGAGTGGGTCAGACGGCTCCCCGGCCCAACAGCTACGTTGGTAAACTGGGGAGGGTCTTTCATTAGACCTGCCTGCCGGAAAAGGCGCGGGGAACTAAGTAAACTTGACATTTACTTAGACCCCAAAAACCTCCTGAAATCCGGGTGGATTAAACTGGCTGCGGATGGGTTGGCACGCAGGAGGATAAAATGACGTGTGTACAGGGAACCTCATGCCCTTGGGGAAGGTATGAGAACAAATCCTATAGTGTCTGTGAGAGGCGCAGACAGGCACTATTACTTATTAGTCGTCCTCAGATCGTGGGAACAAGTATGGAGAGAAAACAAAACAAAAACAAAAAACCGAGTGTAGATGATAGAGAGGAGAGGAGAACTAGTAGTGATGAGGAAGGAACGGGATTCATCGAAACCCCGTACACAAAGAAAAGAAAGGTAGAAGAGGATGAGGTGGAGCTAATCCCTCCAGACCTATGGGCAACAGACGAGGTCCTAACATCGGCTAAGATGCGCGAGTATACTCGCGCTGCCTCGGTCCAGTCCAGGGAATGGAGTGACAGGCTCAGGTCAATAGTGGCAGAGATGAAATTGTCGAAAAAGACAATGACGAAGGAGCGAGAGAGCGACATTGAGGCCGTTCGCAAAGGATGGTTGAAATTAGTCGAAGACATAATTTTAAACCAGATAATACTTGCTGGACGCCTCATTGAAGCGAGGACCTCGCTTAATAATATTCCTCGTCAGAATCTTGACGACTTGCTCAGGGAGCAGGGCTGTCATGCCGGACTTGAATTTGACGGGTACTCCCCGCCGATTCAGGAAACGGAGATAGCGAAAACAAAGAAAGTAATAGAAGAGAGTAAAAGGGAAGAAAAACAGAGTAGGAAAGTAAGGAAAAGAAAGAAGAAGAGGTCAAAGAAGAAGGTAGATGAAGAGAAGGCGGATGGTGAGCGGGAGCGGTTGGAAGTGGTGGCTCCCCCGGTAGTGATATCGGAGGAACCCACACGGCCAGAAGAACCCGATTTCCAGAAGCCAAAAGTGAAAAAGAAGGAGAAAAAGACCAGGAAAGTGAACAAACCAGTGGATATAGTGGTACAGGAAGTGAAAAGGAAAGAGAAACGCAATGAGGGGTATGTGCTCATTGTGAAACCGGCCGAAGCTGAAGGGACGGAGGAAACCGAAAAGGCAGAGAAATCTGCTGATCCGAGTTCATCCGCCCTTACGATGCTTTGGTCGGAAGTAACAAGCAAGGTATCAGCCCCAAGATTCTGCAAGGTGGTGGCTGGCCGAGGTAGTGTTATGAATACTTAACTTAGTTTTAATATTGTCCCACAATTGTAATAACAGATAATCATAAATTGAATTGTAATTGAGGTCGGCCTAAAAGAATGTGTCTATAAAGTATTTTTCGGTGTTGCAAAACCGGGAAGTGGGCCGACTGCGACGATTGTAATGCAGAGCATCGTCAGTCATTTGACAATTATTGTATGAATACTATCACTTTTATTTTTAATAAACTAATTAATTATTCGGCAATACTATTTTATTTTATTCTATTTGTTACTCTCGTAACATTAAT